TTGTAGGTCTGGTAGCTTGTATATTCTGCAGGGAACTACTGTCACAGGTTCAGTTGCAGTTTCGTCATCATCATTGTCTGATTCTAACATCATCAAATTATGGCATATGCGTTTGGGTCATATGAGCGAAAAAGGTTTGAGCATATTGAGCAAAAGGGGTCTACTTTGCAGACAGAGTACTGGGCCACTTGATTTTTGTGAACACTGCATTTTTGGAAAGCAGAAAAGAGTCAGCTTCACTTCTCCGGCAGTTCACAAAACGAAAGGTACTCTTGACTATATTCATTCAGACCTTTGGGGTCCAGCTCATGTTCAATCTAAGGGTGGTGCCAGGTATATGTTGACTTTCATTGATGATTATTCCAGGAAAGTTTGGGTTTATTTTCTGAAGCATAAAAATGATGTTTTTCTAACCTTTAAACAATGGAAGGCTTTGATAGAGAAGCAAACAGGTAAACAGATTAAGCGGCTTCGAACAGATAATGGCATAGAATTTTGTGAAGGTGATTTTGAAGAATTCTGCAAAAATGAAGGAATCGTTCGGCATCGCACTGTTAGGATGACGCCTCAGCAAAATGGTATGGCCGAACGTATGAACAGAACACTCTTGGAGAGAGCAAGGTGTATGATCTCAAATGCAGGGTTGACAAAAGACTTTTGGGCAGAGGCGATTAATATGGCCTGTTACGTTGTCAACCGCGCTCCTTCTGCAGCACTTAACTTTAAAACTCCAGAGGAAGTTTGGTCAGGTACTCCTGCTAATTACTCTGATTTTAAAATTTTTGGATGTCCAGCATACATGCATGTAAATGAAGGAAAATTAGAGCCTCGGGCTAAAAAGTGCATTTTCCTTGGGTATGCTTCTGGGGTGAAAGGATACAGATTATGGTGTTCTGATCCCAAATCCCCAAAATTTGTAATCAGTAGAGATGTTACTTTTGATGAATTATCTATGTTATCTTCTAAAGATTATTCTACTAGTTGTACAAATGATAGTGTGCAGAAGTAGGTGGAGCTTGAGATTGGGAGTTCTAATTCTTTTCAGTCGAACTCTTCTTCTCAAAGAATGCCAATAGGTGGTCCCGAGTCTACTGACGCATATGATCCAGAGGAAGAGCAATATTCCATAGCCAAGGATAGACCACGGAGAGATATTCGACCACCACAAAGATATGCAAATTTGGTTGCATATGCTTTGTCTGTTGCAGAAGAGACAAGTGAAGTTGGTGAGCCTACTTCCTACTCAGATACAGTTTCTTGTGATAATTCCGCTAAGTGGTTGATTGCGATGAATGAAGAAATTGAGTCTCTCCATCGGAATAGAACTTGGGATCTTGTGAAGCCGCCTTCGGGTAAGAAAATTTTTGGATGCAAATGGAACACTATTGCTGAGGGAAAGGTCCTTGTTCAGAAAATTCATACGAAGGACAATTCAGTTGATATGCTTACGAAGCCTCTTCCGGTTTACAAGTTCAAGCAGTGCTTGGACTTGGTTGGTGTTCATTGTTGGTGATTGCCCGTTGGGGCTTTTATGAAGAAGGTGGAGCAAGTTTTGTTGGAACATGCCAAGGTGGAGATTTGTTAGTTTGGCAAGTCCCATAGTCCCACATTTTACGGATGTCGTCAATAGTCTAAAATCTCGTGGCAAATATTTTTTGAATTTTGAACTTATTAATAAAATATTGATATCCCTTTCAAAGAGTTGGGACTCTAAAGTAACGGTCATTCAAAAGGCCAAGGATTTAAATAACTTTCCTCTCGAAGAACTAATCGGGTCACTAATGACCTATGAGATGACTTGCAATGCTCATGAAGAGCTTGAGAACAACCTTCCAAAGAACAGAAAGGATATGACACTAAGAACTTATGAAGACCACTTAAAAGAAAATTCAAGTGATGAGGACTATGATGATGACTTGGCACTTTTGATAAGAAAGTTCAAAAAAATTATAAAAATGAATAAATTTAAAAATGATACTAAAAATAAAATTGAACCCAAGAAAGAATAAGTTATATACTACGAATGCAAGAACCCGAGACATTTCGAAAGTGAATATCACCAAGCAAAGAAAAAGCAACCAAAGAATAAGACTCTTAAAGCAACTTGGGACGATTCAAGTGCATCCGAAGAAGATGAGCTAACCAACACAAAGCAAGTTGCTCACTATACACTAATGGCTATTGGAGATGAGGTAAGAAGTTCATTAGATGCAAATTTATCTTTTGATGAACTACTAAGTACTTTTCATGATTTATTTGATGAATGTAAATTAGTTAGTAAAAAATATAAATTATTGAAAAAGGAGCATGCTTCTCTTATTAGCGATTTTGATATACTAAAAATTGAGCATGATGATAGTTTAGCTCCTTGCATAAAATGTAATGAATTAGAAAAACTTAAAAAAGGAAAACTTGTTACTTAAAGAAACCTTAGAAAAGTTTGAGGTTTGTAGCAAGTCCTTGAACATGATCCTTAATAAGGGTCACGTTCATATAAGAGGCGGAATCAGATTTGTGAGTAGCTCTAACCAAAATCCAACCACCTTTGTTAAAGGCCCTATATTGCATGTATCACCCCACACCAAAAGCAACTTTTATTATAAACTTAGACATGTTGTCTATTAATGTCCACTTAAAAGATATAGTTCACACAAATTGATTTAGGTTCCTAAAGGAACCTTAAATGACTCAATGCAACATGATAAGTTATGTAGATCGATTTTTGAGGCACCCAAGATCAAATGAGCACATAAAAATCACCCTTTTTTATAGAAATGTTTACCATCACAAGCTATGAGCAAGAGATGATACCTTAATAGTGGATGCTCAAGGCATATGACTGAAGATTCATCTCAATTCTCTAAACTCACTAAGCTAGACGAAGGGTATGCCACCTTCGGAGACAACAACAAGGGTAAAATCATTGGCAAATGAACTATAGGTAACAAATCTAACCTTTTAATTGAAGATGTAGTATTGGTTGATGGCTTAAAAGCATAATCTTTTGAGCATTAGTCAATTGTGTGATAAAGGATAGATCATTATATTTGAATCTAATACTTGCATCATTGAAAAACTACATAAAAACATATTCATGATTGTCCTAAAATAAAATAATATATACACTATTTACATTGATGATCTTTGTAATGAAATATGTTTTTCGGTTTTGAATGACGATGCTTGGCTTTGGTATAGGAGATTAGGTTATGCTGGTATGAAACTAATCTCTCAAATCTCATCCAATTGTAAGAGGAATTCCTAACATTAAGTTTGTTAAAGATAATGTGTGTGATGCATATTAACTAGGAAAATAAATAAAATATATTTCAAACCAAAGAATCAAATAAACACTTTTAGACCATTGTAATTGATTTATATGGATTTGTTTAGATCAATTGATACGTTAAGCCTAGAAGATAGCAAATATGTATTTGTCATTGTATACAATTATGGTAAACACAATTGGACATACTTCTTGACACATACAAAAATGATTACTTTATTTTGATATGACGTATATTTCTCCCCCATAACAAAATATAATACTAGTCGAACAAAATTAAGATGTGATCTTCTCATGGACGTACGTACAGTATCAATTAGATACATGCACTATGCTTCGGTATTTTGTACTCCATGTTCCCCACAACCTAACCCACAAACTAATGGCAATTGAAAAGGATTTGAGGTGTACTCATCAATTTGTGTTTATATGCTCATCCATCACTATGTTCCATCAATACAAGTTTGGGCAGACTCAATAAAATCTAACCTCCATTATTATTATTATTATTATTATTATTATTATTATTTATATAAAAGTGCCTGTATTCGGCAACTTCAAGACTCGCCCTCTATCTTTGTGTCTTTGGTTTGCGGACCGCTGAGATATGTATCCTCGCATAAATGTAGATTCTTCTGCACCGAATCCTCAACACACACACCCTCTTTCCGGATTTCTTTCCCCTTCTCCATAAGCTCGAATTGGAGTTTCCAACTTCTGCAAGGTATGCAAATCCTTCCCTCTCTGTTCTTGTCGTATTTGTTGTCATTGTTGTTTGCTCGCATCAAAATTGTATCTTTCTTGCCGGAAGTCTTGATGATGTTCCAGACTATTTTTCTCGATCTTCCCTCGTTTTCCAGGAGGATCGATTAGAATTTCTGATCAAAATATGATCCTTGGATGCCATTCAATATCAGTTCTTTACCCTCCAGTTTAAGTTTCATCTTAGCTGCCGATTCGTCTTCTCTTGGCATAAAATGATTCGGCTTTGAGCTAAAACTTGTATCCATCTGTCCTCCCTTTTGTAGTAATTGGCCGTTGTGCCAAGTGGTTGTCTCCGTCCAGGATTTCTCCTGTTATTTGCACTGCTTGGTGGGCGAGAAGGGAGCAATGGAAGGAGGAGAGACGTTCCCAGTCTTGGGAAATGGCAGCCAAGGGGACTACAAGGTGATGCAGACCTTCCACAAGAGCTTTGGGCAAGTGCAGAGCCGGTTGGACCAGAACAGGAAACTGATCAACGAGATCAACCAGAACCAGGCGTCGAGGATCCCCGGACGCCTCAACCGCAACGTCCGCCTCATCGGGGAGCTCAACAGCAATATCCGCCGCGTCGTCGACGTGTACGTCGAGCTCTGCCTCTCCTTCACCGGGTCAATGGAGGCATCACCTGAAGCTGGAGCTGCTTCCCAAGGGAAGCCTGGCCACAAGAGAGTCAGGGCATGAAGCAGAGACCTCTCAACCCTCGAGGTCCGTCTCAAGTGCTATATTCTTTCAGATGCTTTAATGCATCCGCAAGAAAGCAACTTAGAATCTGAGCGTAGAGTGGATGAGTTTGCTTCCCCATCTTCTCTTTTGCGGCAATCTCTCAAGCACGAGCGTATAAAGATGTTGTGGGAGACAGAGATCTCTTCAGAGCGGTGCCATAGAAGAGGACAAGCGGCATAAAGCTTCCTTCAGATGGTGGAAGGCAGAGCAGAGCAGAGCATTGGTCTTCTGTTTTCAATCGGGATAATTAATCCATTAATTTAATAAATTTCGATAATATCATTTCAGAATGCGTAGTGTCTATCTATTTTTTATAAATCAATTTAACTCGTCTTTCACTTTTGGGATTAACTCGTTTCTCATTTAGGACATCAATTAAATAAATTTTAGGAAATTGATGTTACGTGATTTTTAGAAAAACACTCAATTTTTATTTTATTTTTTAATAAAAATAAGTGACGAAGATAAATTTTAATTCATAATTTTACAATAAACTGTCAATGTCTTTGCCAACTAAACTAGCTAATTGACACTCTCAATTTTTATTTTTTTCTCTTAATTTTAATTTTTTTTTCTCTACTCCTCAAATATAACGAGACCTCGTGATAAGAAAGAGACTATGGATAGACAATGTTATCTTAGGACAGAGATTAGGCAAGACTATGAATAGACGATGTCATCTTAGGACGAAGATTGAACGACGTCACCATGATGGGACAGGAGGATTGGATGTGCGATTGGATGCAGGAAACCTAATTGCTGGAGGTACCCATGGGGAAGATGTCTAATGGTGCAGTGCTCCAAGGGATGTGCATTCCTGTGCAACTGATGTTGTAGAGATTGGCATTGATGGTGGCCGTCTCTGTACAGACTTGCTCTAACTTCCAAACCTATCTATTGTATCGAAATATCAATAGGGACAATCGAGCTATCGTTTGCTTGAGCATCGAGAGAATAGTTCTAGTCTTTTTAACTGAATCTTCACGGATGACCTCCATGCTGTAGAAATCTCAATTTGGTGGTGTTGTATAGTTATTGCCTATTTGACAGTGGTGTGTAAATGTTGCTAAATATATGATCAGCGAGTGAATTAGCACTAGTGGTGTGTAGATGTTGCTAAATATATGATCAGTGAGTGAATTAGCACCGCCAAGGTTTGTATGTACCACAGGAATTACAACTGTTAATGCAGTTGCATCACATTTCTACTCTTTTGCTCTTTTGTTGATCACTCATGGTTTAAGTCAAATGAGTGAGCAATCAATTACACTAATAAAAAACTACAGGGCTTCGTCAGTATCTTTTTGGATGCTTGCCCACTATGGTATGTTGATGCATGGGAAGAAAGAAAACAGTGACCTCTCTCTCGGATTGCTGGTTCATCCTATAGGGACCAACATCGCATCAAAGGAAACAACAATTCATGCGATGGGATGAAAAATGAACTTTGTTATTGCCAATATTTACATGAACATATATTTTCTTTTCCTTCCATTATTATGATATACATGAACAAACAGTATTTTCCATACAAACAAAGCTACTGCTCCAACCACAAGATCATAGTCGAACCCATAGGGGTGTCATCGGACTTCATGGAGGCTTCAATCTCTTGCAGCACACCCAATAGAGTCGTTCGACGATGACGACCAAGCCGGTTCGACCGTGGTCGAATCAGACATCAAGCAGGCTTGCAACTCTTTCGGGGTTATCGAGCGGGCATTGTCCGCGCACTCCATTTGCTCCGCGGCAAGGCCGGTTGAAGGTGTCATTCGACATCAAGAAGGCCTGGAAGACCTCTTCCAGGCTCGTGAAGAAGGGGCCGTCGGTGCAGTACATCTGCTCACACACGACGAAGTCGATCGACGAGGAAACCTCTGCGACCGTGGTCGAATCTATCCGAGTGTCATCGGGCATCAAGAGAACATCGACGATGCCTGACGGCGAGGCCTTGGGGATGGTAGTCGAGACTGTGTCGGTGGCATCGGACATCAAGAGAGCATCAACCTCTCTGGTAAAGAAAGCATCGTCGGTGCAGTGCTGCTCGGCGACGACGACGAAGCCAAGAATGCTTCAACTGCCACCGGTGAGCGTCTCCGTTTTGTTGAAGTTGCCGCCGTGTCTCGAAGGTGGAGGAACACATCTCGTATTCATACATTGTCCACCCGGAGTTCTTCCGCCGGCCGTCCTTGAAGGCTCCTTCCCACCACCATCTCGCGCCCGTCGACGATGAACTTCGACGGGTTCTTGCCTTCTGTTCAGAAGCCTAGAACCGGTGCCGATCGTTCGATCCACGCGCGAGCGCTGGGCCGCTGGTCTTGGGCTGGCGCACCGCAAAGAAATAGCCCTGCCGATTGCTGCCGAGAAAATTCTGTTGAGCCGATCGCTGCCGAGAAAATTCTGTTAGAGAATTGATTTATAGTAGTTATTTAGGTAGTTAGAAGTAATTATAGGGTAGTTTCAAAAAAATGACTCATCATCTATAAGTTATAGGTTAGTTCTTATAGGCCCATGATCTGGGTAGTTACAATTTTGAAAACATTTCTAATGTTGTTTGCATTTCAATTGATCTAATATGGAAGTAATTTTATATTCTGCTAAGTAATTCTATCAGTTGATCTAATATCGAAAATATTATAATTAAATTTTAAGGCTACATTTGCATGTAGTATATAATGTTGTTGGTCTCTACATATTGTTATGTACAATTTTACTTATTATTTGCTTTTTGAAATTAACATGCATAATAATAATAATAATAATAATAATAATAATAATAATAATAATAATAATAATAATAATAAATCATTTGATATTGACGTAATAGTCATTCTTCGTGGTCTTAATATGAGTCTATGTGGCATATTCATCTTCTTTTACTGTGTATATTATTATAATATACCTCCTCGCAGCTGCAATGTTGCCCCACTTCACCGCTATGGGTCCCAGATCTTATGGTGAAGAGGCAGCGGCTCTACACAACGAAACACTAGCGTTGCCTCTTCGCCGTTGCAATGTTGCCCCTTCGCCACTGCAATGTTGCCTCTTCTTCGCCGCTGCAATGTTGCCTCTTCTTCGCCGCTGCAATGTTGCCCCTTCGCCGCTTTGCCGCTGTTATAACTGTTCTTCCCTTCGACGCTGCCGCTGTTTCCAGGTATCGCCGCACTTCTACTCCTTTTTCTTCTTCTTCTTCTTCTTCTTCTTCTTTCGTCCAAGATTGAGAAGTGATATCAGTAGACAAATAGGATGGCTGGATCCAACCAGCACTCATCAATAAGAAAGCAGCAGCATAGGGCAGCAACGGAACATCTTCTAGTGAGTGGAGAAATCATAACAAAAACCATAGTAAGTGATCTCCATTTCACCGAAGAAATACAAGTGTGCAGTTTATTTTGTGATCTCATTTTTTCATGCAGATTTATTGTTAAACGTTATTTTCTTTCGATTAAACTTGCCTTGTTTCAGAAGCTAATTAGGGAAAAAATTAGTTTTGACCAAGTATGAACTGACCAAGTAGGTTGCAATGATAAGATGTAAAACAAGATGCAAAACAGATCATCCATCCAAGATGGATGGTCAAATTTTCTCCGTTTAAACCAGATAATGTAATTGTCACTTCATACGGACACGTGTTGAAGGATGCTTGGTCCAATTTGCTGCCTCATGTCTGGATGTACTAACAACCAAAAGCAACAGTATCCTGATCGACCACTGTTTCCAATCGCTGAATCACATCTGTTCACAACCCAAGTTGATTTCCTTTCCGTTATTGCTGCATTATCGCTTCGGCACTTCTGCTTGGGTTTGCGGATGGGATGTCTTTGCTACGATTGTTATTAGGTTCGTATTTTGCCATACATTGCTTTGTGTGTCCCCTTTAGTTTTCTTAAAATATGTTGTGATTTAGAATGAATGCATTTATTTTTATTTCTGTTCATCGATGGTTGTTTTCTCAATTGAAAAAGCCCAATTCTCCATAACAGATTAGGGATTGCTGAGTTTGGATCACGTCAAAGCTCAAAAAATTCTTTATTTGCTACACTTCATGCTATGATGGTTCCGATATTTTACTGCTATTTAATTTCACTTTAATTTGTTGATAGTTTCTTTTTCAATGAAAATGCCAAATTCTCAAAACAAGATTAGGGATAACTAAATTTGGACAATGTCAAAGCAAAAAAAATCTTTGCTTTTGCATGTGTCAATTTGGAGTGGTTCTGATCCTTTACCATTAGATAAATTTATGTTGATTTGCTGATAGTTGTTTTTAAATATGATCTCTGATCTCTCCCATGAATGGGGGACTCCTAAGTTTGGTTCACATCAAAGGGTAGTGTTTCCGATCCTTTACCATTGTTTTATCTTGATTTGTCAATATTTCTTTTATAGCAAACCAAAATCTATAAAAGATCAGGGATTTTAGACCTTGCACCATGTCAAGTCTTCAAAAATCTTCTCTTTGGTGTGCTTCATGTTGTAGTGGTTTTAGTTCTTTACCATTTTTACATGTCTATGTATATGCTGCTTGTTGTGGATTGTTAGGGTTATTTTCAACTTGCTTGTTTATAGCCTTAAACATTACCATGTCCTGTTATTCTGCTGCCTTTGATCCTCTTATTGACACTTTTTAGTGATGCTCTTGTTTTAGGATATTTATTATTTACTTAACATTTCAGTGTCTCTTAAATATGAGCCCTTTCCTTTTTGCATCTGCAGTGAGACATATGCTTACTATGACTTGCCATTCTGCTCGTTCTTGACTATCCTTACTGTTCCACTGACTACTAAGCTGCATGAGTCTGTTGGGAATACTAACTTTGCTGATTTATTAGATCAAAAGAAGCTATTGGGGAAGTTCTAATTGGTGATCGTTTGGTCAATGCTCCATATAGTTAAATTTTCTGGAGGAAAAGCAGTCAAAGTCTCTTTGTAAGAAGAACTTATCAATTTGGTCAATGCTCCATATGGTTAAATTTTCTGGAGGAAAAGCAGTCAAAGTCTCTTTGTAACAAAAACTTATCAAAAGAAGATGTTGCAAAGTACAGACATCATGCTGTATTCAAGGGACTACTACTTTGAAATGTATTATGATGATATGCCTCTATGGGGATTCTTGGGCAAGACTTAGTGGGACAAGACTGATTCGGGCAAACAAAATCACTTGTTCTTTAAACACATCCATTTCAATATTCTTTACAATGATGATAGGGTCATATAGATCAATGTCCAACATTATTATGGATATCTCAGAGGATAAAGAATTAGATGTAGAGTTTTCATATTCTGTTTTATGTAAAAAGACTGACATATCTTTTAAAGAAAGGACATTGATCATCTGCTTTCTGCTTGATTACCTGATAGCTTATTGGACTAACGAAGATGGAGATATCTGCACTGGTGTTGGCTTGTGGTTTGTGGGTCGGAGCTGACGGAACATATCGTAAGTGCAAGATTTGATCTTGTATGGGCTATCCATTGGCATTGCATTTCGTGAAGTGCTTCACAGTTCTGTCTTCGGGACTTTGTGTGGTTTGCCATGTCAATTTCTCGTTCTGCTTTGACATGTATGAAGTCTGCCTCTTTCTTTGACTACAATATTTTTTACTCATCTTCTTGAATTTTTTAGCAATTTTAGTTACATTGGTCTTTCTTGGATGCAGAAACACTTTCAAGCCTGAAATTTTGATTGCAGCTTCCGAGCAGATCAAGTGTGTTCAAAGGCAGCAAATACTTCAAGATCGATCACTGATATCAGCCGACAGATAGGATGGCTGGATCCAAGCAGCAATCATCAGTAAGAAACCAGCAGCAAGGGCAGCAAGGCTGCAAAACAAAGCTTTCTAATTAGTGGAGAAATCATCACAAAAACCATAGTAAGTGATCTCCATTTCACAAAATAAATAAAAGTAGGCAGTTTATTTTGTGATCTCATTTTTGGTGCAGTTTTATTTATTAACATTGTTTTCTTTCAATTAAATTTGCGTTGTTTTAAAAGCTAGTTAGGGAAAAATTTGTCCATGATAAAACCTGTGGGCATAAGTTTCTAGTCTTCTCTAATTTAAAAAAAAGAAAAAGTTTTGACTTTTCCTATTAAGAAAATTGACTTTCTGCTCTAAAGTATACACCGTAAGTGAATCACTATTTATATTTCTGTCAAACAAATGCAAGATCTTAATGATTAAAATACCTCCAAATTACATAAAGTTAACCTTTAAATGAGAATATAACTTTTTCACTCCAAATTACATTAGTAATGGAAGCTCTTGTTGCTACAATCAATATTGGAAATGAAATATATTTTGTTGTTAAAGGCAAAATTGGTGATGAAAAGAAATATATTTTGTAGCTATATCTTGATAAATAAGCAGCAAAAAATATTCAAATTTTCCCCAATCCTTGAAGTAATCTGTTAAAATTATGCAACCATAAGAGCAACATATCACACAACAGAAAAAATAACAGGAATTGATGTTTAGCTAACAATTATACCAATGCAATATAATAAAAATTTTAGTTATAAGTTTGTTTTAGCTGCACCAACAACATTATTTCAATTTTCGATAGTTTTAAAAAAAATATTTTAGACGATCATTTATAGTTTATTTAGCAACTCCATCTCAAGCGAACTCTTCAAAATATATGTTTTACAAATCAAAGTTCCTCTTCTACATAAAAGCTCTACAGTAAGAACTGACCAAATAGGTTATATGTTGAGATGTGAAACAAGATGCAAAACATATCATCCATCCAAGATGCAAATCATGTCTAATTTCCACAGTTCCGTTAATCTTTGTTCATCGGTTAAAGATAATATTCCTCTAATATTGAGTACTTTTATTACACAAAAAACAGACAAACACAGAAACAAAAGCTTTTTGGTTACAGAGTATTATAACAAATCTTTAAGAGCAGAAATGAAGAAGCCATGAACACTTGATCACTAATCATCCTTCCAAAAAGCCACTTCTCTTGGGTGATGGAGTTGCATGTTGAGGTGGTGCCATCATAGGAGACCTATGTTTGTATCTTACAACAACAAATACATTATTTTCTTATATATATATGTATCATAATAAAGTTGTAAAGGCATCTTTTTATTGAAGCAAGAATACATGATGTGGATTTTAGTTATAAAATGTTATTCTGATCTTGATCCAATGTGTTTTTTTCAATTGTGTCATAGTCAAAACTTTTAGTGCATTATCCATCATAGTGTAATTCTTTTTCTTTGATAATATCCGGCAGGCTTTAGTTTGATTGAATTTGGTAAATGAAGGTATAGATGCTTGCTATAAATCATATTAATGTTGATTATCGATGTCACAAAAATTGTGTTTGAATATGTAAGACAGATCTATCAAAATTATGTGGGACACATCACAACATCATTCAGTAGTTTCTTTGCAATTAACCAATTTCTGTGCCGATTTTTTTTTTTTGTGAAATGAAATCAGATATTAGTTGTGAACAGTGAATACACTATATGCATTGTTGCTGAATTATTTCTTGAATGTAAGCTAAGTAAGTTCAGTCACCAAAATTATCTCGATTAGCATCGTATCAGAAGTGGAAGAATAATTGTGATGGTTTATAGGGCTAGATAAGCTCACAATCATTAACTTGATGTTGAGTCCTCTAAAATTTTCTTTCAAAGCAATGCAAACTGAACTTTTATCTGGTTCCATTTAACCATCCTCATTTAACATGCTTTTCACTTGTCTATTGATTTATACTTTGCATTTTACTTGCTTTAGAGGTGTTATATATTGATTCATTTAAGCTTTTGATGCAGAACATTAACAAAATTAAAAATGTCAATTGCCCAGTTTTTGTAATTCATGCAAGTGCTTTGTCTTAAATTCATCACGTTTTGTCCTGCAAACAATCAGTGGTTTGATTCTTTCTGTTGAGAAGGATTTAAAAGCTTTCTTTGCAAAGTAGTGGCAATTGTATCCTTAACAATGGACTGAATTTGGTTAATGTTTTTCCATTGTATCAGAAAGTTTGAACTTATATTAAAGAGTCTATCAGTTTCTTAAATTTATTGATTCCTGTCAGATGCTATGCTTAATTTCTGCATTCAGTGATCGGTTCGGAAAATATTGTCAATTCCTTAGTCACTTTGATGAATTCAAATTGTCATTTGACTTCTGCTTTGCACTCACCAAAGTGAATACTGTAGACTTTGCTGGATAAGAAAATTTTTATTGGAACTGATCTGGTTTTACGATAGAGCTGTTTATAGACTCTGCTTATGTGCTAATAATTTATGATTGTTGTTATCGCTTTAGAGAAGACATACATAGGGAGGCTACTGCCACCACAACCACCCACCTTCACGACAAACTGTTGTTGTGGGATTAGACGCAGGAAATCTAATTGCTGGAGCTACGCATGGGGAAGATGTCTAATGGTGCAGTGCTCCAAGGGATGTGCATACCTGTGCAACTGATGTTGTAGAGATTGGCATTGATGGTGGCCTCCTCTGTACAGACTTGCTCTAACTTCCAAACCAATATATTGTATCGAAATGTCAACAGAGACAATCGAACTATGGTTTGCTTGAGCATCGAGAGAATAGATACTAGTTTTTTTTAACTGAATCTTTAATTTGGTGGTGTTGTATAGTTATTGCCAATTTGCCAGTGGTGTGTAGATATTGTTAAATATATGATCAGTGAGTGAGTTAGCACCAGTGGTGTGTAGATGTTGCTAAATATATGATCAGTGAGTGAATTAGCAGTGTCATGGTTTGTGTGTACCACAGGAATTATCACTGTCAATGCAGTTGTATCTCATTTCTATTATTTTGCTCTTTGGTTGATCAATCATGTTTTAACTCAAATGAGTGAGCAATCAATTACACTAATGAAAAGTAGAGGGCATATTGGCTGTTTGCCCACTACAATGACCTTTCTGTCAGATTGCTGGTTCATTCGTTATACCATCCTATGGAGACCAACATCGCATCAAAGGAGACAACAATACATGGGTTGGGATGAAAAATGAATTGTGTTATTGCCAATTTTTACATGAACATATGTTTTCTTTTCCTTCCTTTATTATGATATACATGAACAAACAGTATTTTCTATACAAACAAAGCTACTGCTCCAACCACGGGATCATAGTCGAATCCATTGGGGTGTCATCGAACTTCATGAGGGCTTCAATCTCTTGCAGCAAGCCGTCGTCGTCGTCTATGTTCTCCGTCTGCGCACACCCAACAGAGTCGTTCGACGATGACGTCGAAGCCTTTTCGACCGTGGTCGAATCAGACATCAAGCAGGCTTGCAACTCGGATGATAGCGAGGCCCCTGGGATCGTAGTCGAGGCAATGAAAGTGTCATCGGACATCAAGAAGGCATGGACCTCTTCCAGGCTCGTGAAGAAGGGGCCTGACGGCGAGGCCTTGGGGATGGTAGTCGAGACTGTGTCGGTGGCATCGGACATCAAGAGAGCATCAACCTCTCTGGTAAAGAAAGCATCGTCGGTGCAGTGCTGATCACCGCCAAGATCGACCGACGACGAAGGCGAAGCCAAGAATGCTTCGAGCTCCTCCGCAGTCATCCCGAGGTCAAATGCTTCGAGTTCTTCCGCAGTTATCCCGACGTCACCTCCACCAACGTCCGTTGACGATGGGGAGGCGGCTGGGACTCCGGCTTCGTTCGGTGCCACGGAGTCGATGGAGGAAAGACGACTCTCCGGGATTGTCACGACGGGAGCCAATAAGAGCTGTTGCACCACCGCGGTCGGAGGTGGTGAGAGGTCGGACTGGAATGCTCCGTTGGAATGTGCAACCAACCCCCGGCATGGCTTCTTGGGTGCTGCTGATGAGAGAGTAGAAGATTCCTCTCTATTTCTCTTCTGCCCAACGAAACTGCTGGCGCCGGTGAGCGTCTCCGTCGTGGCCTCCGTGAACGTGGACTCAACCGATTTCATGAACTTGCCGCCGGAGACGGGTTGATACGAGCTCTTCTTCACGTGACAGAGAACTCGTGTCTCGAAGGTGGATGAACACATCTGGTATTCATACATTACCCACCCGGAGTTCTTCCGCCGGCCGTCCTTGAAGGAAAGGTAGCTCCTTCTTCCCACCACGATCTCGCGCCCGTCGACGATGGACTTGACGGGTTCTTGCCTTCTGTTCAGAAGCCAAGAACCGGTGCCGGCCGTTCGATCGACGCGCGAGCCGCCGCTGGCCTTGGGCTGGCGCTCCGCAAAGAAATAGCCCTCCTTCCGATCGCTGCCGAGAAGATTCCACGGCTCGGTGCCGTAGACGTCGGCGAAGGCGACAGCGCGGCCAGGGAGGGGTTTGCCGGCGACCCAGTTGGCGAGGTAGTCGACCACGAGTTCATCCGCCGTGGGAAGGAATCTGTAGCCTGACGGAACGAGGTCGACGGGCTCCATGGATGACTAAAGTTTCCGGAGAGGGGACGAGAGGAAATGAACGAGGAGAAGAAGGAGAAGGGAGCAGAGGATTCTTGAAGAGTTGGAGAGGAGAGAGAATGGGCGCTCGGGGTTGGACAGAGTGATTCTTGAAGACATTCAAGCATTTCTTTGGTGGGTGTCTTCAAGACGGAGGATCTTGAAGACTGAGGTATGATTGCATACATCAAGGATTGTTGTACCCGCCGTACAGTGCGGTTTGGGTGGTACGTATAGGTCTAAGCATTGTATTGATACATGGATAGGCCTTTTTGGGGTTGTCCGAATTAAAATAATAAAAAATTAAAAAGGGGTGGACCCCAGTTCATTTCGGCATTAAAAAAATTCAAAAGGCATATTAGGGCTCCTCTTCTCGCGTACGATGCCGTGGCATTCCCTCACATCGCATCGCCGATGCGATGTTGCTGCTGCTTCCCTTCGACGCTGCCGCTGCTTCCCAGGTATCGCTGCACTTCCTTTCCTCCTCCTTTTTTTTTTCTTCGTCTTCTTCCTTCTTCCTCCTCTATTCCTCCATCGGACCATCCACTTCAACCTTATTTTCTTCCTTGTCGAAATATCAGTATGCACCAATGTACCATGTGTCGGTACACCGGTACTGGGCGGCACACCGGTGTCGACCGATAAGTCAAACCTTGGTATACATTTGATATATTTTATGATTTATGACTTTGGGAAGATCTCACCAGAGAATTAACCTCACATCTCATCACTTGTAATGTCACATTTTCAGATGTTCGAAGAGAATTGTATCGATTTATAAGGATTATATGAGTCTACTATAGTTAACTTGAGTTTAAGTATCAACATTGGTTTATAAGGATTCAGATGATTTTACTATAATTGATTTGTCAAGTTAATGAGACAGTTAACTCATCGAGTTAGTCATGATAAATGACACTAAAAAATTATCTAAAAAATATTGGTTAATGTTAATATCAGATTTTCAGTTTCGAAGACCCTAATGGTTCTAATAGATAAGAAATGAGTAGCAAAAGTGTTAACTAAAGTAATCAGATTCTTCCATGTAGCAGACTGGATTGATGCAGAATGATCACTGAGAAAGGTTATTTGACATTCATGAATCTTCTTATTTATGTTCTTGTGGCCATCACTGCTAACCACAGCGAAACATACTTTTATGGAAGTTTCTCTAAATAAAGATGCTGAAACACTTTCAAGCTTGAAATTTTGATTACAGCTTCACAGCAGATACTTCAAGTGTGTTTAAAGGCAGCAAATAGGATGCCTGGATCCAAGCAGCACTCGTCAACAAAAGCAGCAGTACAGGGCAGCAAGGCTGCGAAACAAAACATTCTAGTCAGTGGCGAAGTCATCAAAAAACCGTAGTAAGTGATCTCCATTTCACAAAAGAAATAAAAGTAGGCAGTTTATTTTGTGATCTCGTTTTTTGTGCAGATTTATTGATTAACATTGATTTCTTTCAATTAAAGTTTCGTTGTTTAAGAAGCTAGTTAGGGAAAAAATTGTCCTTCGTAAAACCTGTGAGCATATGTTTCCACTCTTCCCTAATTTTAAAGAAAGAAAAGTTTTGCCTTTTTCCTATTAAGAAAATTAAGTTTCTGCTCTAAGGTATACTCTGTAATGAAACAGTATTTGTATTCTTGTCAAACAACTGCAAGATCTTGATGAATAACATACCTCCAAATTTATATAAAATTAACCTTTAAAAGGGAAAATAAATTTTCACTGAAAAATAAAAATATTCTTGCTGAAGAGTTTTTCTAACATTGTTTTCTTTTAATTAAATTTGCGTTGTTTAAAAAGCTAGTTAGGGAAAATTTTGTCCTTATTAAAACCTGTGGGCATAAGTTTCCAGTCTTCTCTAATTTTAAAAAATAAAAAGTTGACTTTTCCTATTAAGAAAATTGACTTTCTGCTCTAAAATATAATCTGCAAGTGAATCACTATTTATATTCCTGTCAAACAAGTACAAGATCTTGATGATTAAAATACCTCCAAATTACATGAAATTAACCTTTAAATGAGAAAATAACTATTTCACCGAAAAATATAAAATTCTTGCTGAAGAGTTTTACTAGTAATGGAATATCTTGTTGCTATAATCAATATTGGAGATGAAATATATTTTGTTGCTAAAGGCAAAATTAATGATGAAAACAAATATGTTTTGTACCTATATCTTGATAAATAAGCAGCAAAAAATATTCAATTTTTCCCCATTCCTTGAAGTCATCTGTTAATATTATGCAACCATAAGAGTAATATATCGCACAACATAAAAAATAACAGGAATTGATGTTTAGCTAACAATTATACCAGTGCAATAAAATAAAAATTTTAGTTATAAGTTTGTTTTAGCTGCACCAACAACATTATTTCAATTTTCTATAGTTTAAAAATAATTATTTTCGAGGACAAAACGAAGGTCATTTGTAGTTTATTTAGCAACTTCATCTCAACCAAACTCTTCGAAATATATGTTTTACAAATCAAAGTTCCTCTTCTACATAAAAGCTCTACAGTAAGAATTGACCAAATAGGTTGCATGCCGAGATGTGAAATAAGATGCAAAATAGATCATCCATCCAAGATGCAAATCATGTCTAATTTCCAATGTTCCATTTAATCTCTGTTCATCAGCTAAAGATAATACTCCTCTATTGTCGAATACTTTTATTAAATAAAAAACAGATAAACATAGAAACAAAAGCTTTTTGGTTACAGAGTATTATAACAAATCTTTAAAAGCAGAAACGAAGAAGTCATGAACACTGGATCACTAATCATCCTTACAAAAAGCCACTTCCCTTGGGTGGTGGAGTTGCATATTGAGGTGGTGCCATCATAGGAGACCCATGGTAGTATCCTACAACAACAAATACATTATTTTCTCATATATATGTATCATAATAAAGTTATAGATGCAAGCAAGAATACATGGTATCTAAGTATACCCATTATCTAGTTTTTTTGGTTATTGGGGCCTATTCTAGATTTATGTGGCCTCATTTGTTACTGAATATACATATATATATATATATATATATATATATATATATATATATATATATATATATATATATATATATATTGTGTGGATTTTAGTTATAAAATGAAAATTATTCTGATCTTGATCGAATGTGTTTTTTTCAATTGTGTCATAGTCAAACCTTTTAGTGAATTATCCATCATAGTGTATTTTTTTTTTTACGATAATATTTGGCATGCTTTGGTTTAATTGAATTTAGTAAATGAAGGTATAGATGCTTGCTATAAATCATATTAATGTTGATTACCGATGCCACAAAAATTGTGTTTGAATATATAAGACAGATCTATCAAAATTATGTGGGACACATCACAACATCATTCAGTAGTTTCATTGCAATTAACCAATTTTTGTGCCAAATTCTTTTTTTTTGTGAAATGAAATGAGATATTGGTTGTGATCCATGAATACACTATATACATTGTTCC